CTCTTTCCTCTAACACTGAAAGGGGCTGGGCGGATGTCTCGTTTGTGAAGCATGGTTTTGTTTACAGCCTGCTCCCCACTAACCCACCAGCTGTGTCACGCCTTCACTGGATCGCTGCACTGCCTCCTTGCACCTCCTGGTGTCTTGGTGCACATCCCCGATGGACCTGCATGAGTGGGAATTTCTCTTTTGTCCAGCTCTTCCCCTCTAACTCCAGGTTTTCTTCTCTTCTGCCAGCAGGTACCCCAGACACTGAAGAACTGGAGACAAACTCAGACCAGACAAGCATGGATCGGCCCACAGCTGGAGCCCCCGGTACCTGCTTGGGGCTGTCACTCTTCCTCCTACCCAGTGTCATCCTGGTGGGCCTTCTGCTTTGAATGGTCTTTCTCAGCTGTCCCTGCACCAGTCACCAAGGCTTTCTTCAGCATTGGTTGCTCCACAACTCTGGTAGGCTTGGGAGATACCACGGACAATTCAGGTTGACACGCTCTCTTCTTCCGCTGCCTTATCTGCTCCAGCCCCAATGAGCCAAGGGCAGCTGGCAATCCCATGGGAACTTGGTCCCCTTCCTGAGGAGACCCAAAGGCAGGAGGGTGTCTGCTATAATGCTGGTGACCTTGGACGCTTCTCCTGTCTTCCCAGCCAGCCTGGGCTTCTGGTCTGTTTTCAAAGTGGAAACAACGAGCTATCCCACCCACCTGTGTGGCTGGCAGGCCCCACCACACCGTGTCCCTGGGAAAGCAGAATGACTTGGAAACCCGAGCGGCGATGAGACGTGGTTATTGGTTTTGGTGTTTGTAGGTGAGACGCGGTGGTTGTGTTGGGTGTTTGTCAGGATGAGTTTCCAACAAAAATGCTCTTTTCCCCTCCTGATGTGTCTGTCTGTCTCAATTTTGGAGAAGTTTCATCTCTCGCCTTCTTGTCCAAAACGAGTGGCTTTTTTTTTTTTTTCTACAGGAGAGGATTTCTCTTTCTGTCCTGGTTCTGGCTATGGCCAGTGCTGCCCAGCTGTACGCCTTTCTCCACCTCGCACCTCTGCAACCCTCACCTCCTCCCTCTCTTCTGCTCCTTACCCCACGTACCCATTCCACAGTTAGTCCATTGACTTGATTTTACGCATGTGCCTGCACCCGTGTGCGTGCACAGAAGAAAAACCTTTGGCGCTGAAGAGGAGTTACCAGCTCCTTCGTACAGCTTTCCTCTGCATGGCTTCTTTCTTTGCATAACTTAAGTGTATTTGAATTTAGATACGGATCCCGGTTGAGATGTATTTTGCTTGTGGTGGAACCTGGTCCAGGAGAAACAAGTCATCACGTATGCTGGTACAATTTGAGCTCGGGAGAGCCAAGTGAATGATGTTAGAAGTTCCTGGTGGTTCCAGGACTTGTTGGAGGATGACTTTCATTGTCTGGGATGCTGTGTGTTTTATTCCCCCATGTCTCTGCTCCCTTCACCTGAGGATTCCCAGTAAGGTGTGTTAAATACGTGACAAGCTTTGCAGACCGATGGAAGGGAGATACAGTCCCTTCTGTGGCTGTTGCATCCTTTGATTTCTTAAAGAGATGAGGTGGAGAATGACCTGAAGGCCAATATTCGTGTCCTCCCCCGTGATGCTGTGTCCTGTGCATCCCCAGAGCATGCACTGAATAAATCGTGTTGTGAAAGTCTGTTGTGGGGCGTGCAGTGTCTCGCTGGGGGATCTGGAGGCCAGGGGCCTGCTTACCATATCTGCAAAATGCTCCTGCTTGTGTGCTTAGGTAGAGTTGCTAAAAGGCAACGTGGCTCCTGGGGGTGCTGATGGGTTTGTGGTTTTTTTTTGCTTTCCAAAAGTGTCGGGCTGATGGTTTTTGCAAGGTTGCAACTTAATGTTTTTAAGCTTGTGTAAAAGCAGCAGGAGGAGATTGAGGGCGGCGTAGGGAATATCCCCTGAGCACCCAGCTGAGTGCAAAGCAAAAATGTGTCCCCACCAGGAATTTTTGGGCAAGGAAAGCAAGAGAAAGAGAGCTCAGAACAACAAAAAAAAAAAGAGGTCAAAACTGGAGCTGGAGCACTTCTGGTTCCCTGTTTTGAGAGGCCCAGCAGCCAGCCCCTTCCCACCCCCAAACCCACATTTTTTCATCTTTGCAGCAAAGACAGAAGTTAAAACGCAAGCGCGTGGCCGCAGATCCCGCGTTTCTGCAGCTTTTTCCCTGCAGAACATCACCCAGCTGCGAGCAGCACGCGGGGAAAGGGCCTTGGCGAGGCATAAACTCACAGCACGGGAGCGATGCTGGGATCAGACCTTGGCTTTTTGCTTTTCCCCATCCTCCCACCGCCCCTGCTTTGCCTGGTGAGGCTGCCCTGCGACTCGGTATTTCCCTTCTCCCTGAAACCCCGCTGCAGGAGCCCAGCAGCACCCGCTCTCTTGCAGGAAACCAGCTGCCTGCGGGGTTTTTTTAGGTCATGGTCACTGCTAGCCCTGCTAAATGGTGACCGGCAGATGGCGGTGGGAGAGACACCGCAGAGAACTGGGCAGCTCCGAACTCGCTACGCAGAGCCCTACAGAGAGTTCAGTGCCTTATTTAATCACCAGCATCGGATGTAGTTAACAATCAGATTAAAAATAACCTCCTGCCCAGGTGGGGTGGCTGCTGTGCGCTCTCGTTGCAGGCTGAGCTCCTGCTGCCAAGCTGATTTCGGGGGGAAAAAAAAAATAAATCCAGCCTTAGGTTAGGGACAGATGATAGAAATGCAGCCAGCACGACTGCTGTTCGCCTGTTGTAAGGGGTGAGGGTCCAGGCAGGGCTGGAGCTGGGAGAGCATTTCAGGGCTGTGACTGTTTTTCCATCTGGGTGAGGGAGAGGGTAACATTAATCCCCTAAAAATGGTAAAAGGTGCAGAAAAGCATTTCTCCTCCCAGCAAAATTAGGGCATTTGGTCAACACCTGATTTTTTGCCGTGTTGTATCCCCCCACCCTGCTGAGAGCTGTAATGGAGCTGGGAGCAACGGTGCTGCTGATTAACAGCGTTAGCAGAAGCCTGTCAGAATAATTCTAGGATTTAAATGTTTAATCACAATTTTGGGGCGAGTGGTTCTTGTAAGAACTGATGAGTTTTGTTTTCCTTAGGGTTTTCACTTCTGGAGACGTGCAGTTGTGCAAGGACCTATTTGCAGTGTTCCTTGTAAGAGAAAATTCAAAACCAGAAGGCAAATCCTCATTCCTCTTCCCTCTGCACCCCAGGACAGCAGGGCTGAGCCCTGCCAGCACAGGCAGTGGGATGGTTTGGTTTAATGCTAAATTAGGGGTGGTTAGGGAAGGAGGGAAGGTGACCGCATGGCAAGGGCAGGGTATGGTGTGGTGCAGGGGGGAGGACACAAAACATTCAAGGGAGGCTTTTGCAGCATTTCCACTCTGTTTGTGGGGTTGGCATGAAGGATGCTCTGGTGTCGGGGTGATGCAGCGGGCAACTCGTGGGCGGGGAAAAGGAGCCAAGATCCTGGCAAAGATGCTACTGGGTCCTGGCAGCCCCATAGCCATGTGAGGTGGGAGGAGGAGGCGGCATTTAACCACCAGCTGTGGTCAGTTGGGTTAAAATCATGGGATTTGTGGTGTTTATAAGGCTTGGCTGCTGCATTAACCCCACCTGCTTTGTTCCTGTCTCCCAACCCTGGGTCCTGTTTCCCCCCAGGGAGAGGGATGTGTCTGCTGCAGGTTGAGTGAGAGGTTGCTTAGCTTTGTGCTCCTGAAGCGCCCCGAAACCCGGTGAGTCAGAAGGGTTGGGGCAAGCATCTACACCATCCGGGGGGATTTGCAGCCGGGGCTGTGATGCTGGTAGGCCTGGCCAGCTGCCTGGTATTCTCTGAGTATTTGGGCTGAAAGTGCTCTCACTGCCTCAGTGTCCCCAGGGGTGCCAGCAGGGACCCACCTTTCTCCCTCTTGCTTCCTCGCTGCTTTTTGCTAAAAGAAGGCACCTGCCCCTCCTTGCCATTGTGGCCAGCAATGGCACGGCTGCCCCACCGAGATGTGCCTGGGCATCCCAAATCGCCACAGCTGTAAGCTCAGCCAGCCTGCCAGCCCTCCTCCTGGGCAGGGGCTGCTACAGCCTGACAGGAGGGGGGAGCCAGGGGGGGTTGGGCTCTGCTCCCAGGGAATGGGCGACGGGACGAGGTGAAATGGCCTCAAGTTGTGCCAGGGCAGGGTTAGATTGGACATTGGGAAAAATTCCTTCCCCAAAAGGTTTGTCAAGCGCTGGAAGGGGCCGCCCAGGGAAGGGGTCAAGTCCCCATCCCTGGGGGGATTTGAAAGACGTGTAGTTGTGGTGCTTAGGGCCAGGGTTTGGGGGTGGGATGGCAGGGTTAGGGGAATGGTTGGGCTT